GGTTCAGTTTGCTGCTGCTCGTGGTCTCACCATGATGCGTCCCTTATGGACCGGTTCCATTCCAGAAGCAGATGATATGATCAAATACCACTATTCTGACTTTCCCAAAGCATCTTCGCTTGCCAACGCCTACTCAGAGCAGCTTCGGCTTGATGCAGAGAGCTTAGATCTTGAAGGGTATGGGGATATTGCTGCTCTATCTGCCCGACAGGTCCTCGGAGCCACCTACTTTTCCGGAACTCTGTCAGATCCGATCCTTTTCCTCAAAGAGATTTCTTCAAACGGGAACTTTCAGACAGTGGATGTGATCTTCCCCTCGTTTCCTTTCTTCCTATACACAAATCCTCAGTGGCTTATAAACCTCCTGGAGCCCCTTCTCGAGCACCAGCTTAGCGGCCAGTATCCCAATAAGTACAGCATGCATGACCTGGGAGCTCATTTCCCCAATGCAACGGGCCATGCCGATGGGCAGGATGAATACATGCCTGTTGAAGAATGTGGCGACATGCTCATCATGGGATTGGCCGTTGTCAATGCACTGAGGCATGAATCGAAGAAGGCCTGGCTCATTGAATCTCACCGAATGCCTGAAAATGATCAACAAATTCTCTCGTTAGAGTCCCCCCTTCATGGCCTCACCAGACATGATTCGATCGACACGGCAGGATCTGGTCTGGAAGCCGTTTCAGGAGAATCGGCTGCAAAGGCATGGGTGAAGCGAGCCTACCCAATGTGGAAGCAGTGGACAGGTTACTTGATCAGCGAATCTCTGATACCCCGAAATCAGCTGTGCACTGATGATTTCGCTGGTTGGCTTGCGAATCAGACCAACCTGGCTCTAAAGGGTATTATTGGCATCAGGGCAATGAGCGAGCTTTCGGATCTTGTCGGGGAAACAGAAGATGCCAAGTACTACAAAAACATTTCAGACGTATACATTGAGAAGTGGCAAGAGTACGGCTTATCCCGAGATCGAACTCATGCAAAGCTCGCCTATACTTGGTATGGGTCATGGACGACCATCTACAACCTATTCGCAGATGCGCTTTTATGTTTCCATTTGCCATCAGGTCACAGCACAGGCAGCGAGGATGCGGAGAGCAAGCAGAAGCATTTCATCCCCAATGACATTTACAAGAATCAGAGCAAATGGTACCTTTCCGTCCTGCAACGGTATGGACTGCCACTTGACAGCAGGCACTTGTACACCAAGAGCGATTGGGAGTTCTTTGCCGGGGCCATCACGAGCACCAAGACTCGCAAGGCGCTGGTCGAGAGCATCGCTCGATGGGTGAATGAGACCATCACAGGTATGTACACCATAATCAGGGACACCTATAAGTGCTGGCATATAGGCGCATGGCTAATCAGATCATACGTGTCAAGACCGGCCTTTCACAGACCTGTATGACACCGAGGGAGAGGGTGACTTTTCCCCAGTCAGGTTCATGGCCCGGCCTGTAGTTGGAGGCCATTTCGCTCCCCTGGTCTTAAAGCATGCGTGCAGGGGGCAAGCCTCCAAGGGCCTGGACTTTCTCGACGCAGAAGACGACCAGCTAGTTGACGTGGCCACGGCGCTGGCAGCGGATCTCAAGGAGGGTGTTCCGGTTTCAACGGATGATGGAATGGAGCTGTGAGACTGAATGTCGTGCCACTCAAGGTGCTGTAGAGCTAGCGAATCGCAGGGTCTGAATGGGCTACATCCAGCACTGGAGACATCCAATCGATATGCATATTAATAATTATGCTGTCCATCCGTGAGAGCCGATGTGAATTAGATTGATCGGGTAGCACCTGCAGTTGTAACGGCCTTACAGAATCCGCACCGTCCGTAACTGTCGCTAGGTCAGACGGTTGCCAGGCACAAACAGGCTAACAGCTGTGTGTAATCCTGCCCTTGTCGGCAGCAGCCGGGGAAGCTGCTCGGCTGTTAGGTGGCAAGGTACCTAACTGTGGCGCTAGGCCGCCTCTCGCTAGGCAGGTCCCAGAGAAGGAAAGCCCCGCTTAATCATCGGTCGCCCTGGATCTCGCTCGAAACTGCACAGCCTCATTTCGGCGCGTGCAAGCTTCAAATCTGGATTTTTTTCCCTTCTTCCATCCACCTTTGTCTCCAAAGCTGCACCATTGCCATCCTCAGCCCGTCTCCATCCCGGCTCCATCTCCCGCCCCTCAACCACTGGCAACCTGTGCAATAAAAATGGCGACTACTGCGATGGACTACGAGACCGCCAACGGCGACCGCTACGAGGGTACGTAACGATCATCGCACAAGGCTACGCGTTGGTGATTTCAAAGCCTACCAGCATATTCATCAACCACTTGTGTCAACCCTCCAAGATCCCTGCCTGGGGTTGTCACAACGATTCTTGGACTCGACAGCACCCTCATGTTGTTGTTTTTCCCCAAAACGAGGACAGATTGGCTGACCATGTTTTCTTTTTTCAGACGAGGCTCCCCGGTACGACCGCGACAACCGAAGTGCCTCTCCTCGTCCTCCTCGTGACGACAATGATGAGCCTCGCCGCCGCTCTGCTTCCCCTGGCGGCCACCACGACAGGTTTGTCACTCCAAAAATTTCATATACCATCTTCACATGACTGACTTTTCCCATGAATAGCGGCAAGGGTGGCTCTGGTCCCAAGGACGACGATGATGACGGTGCCGTGAACCCAGGCTCCAACCTCTTCGTCACTGGTATCAACCCCAGCCTCTCCGAGAGCGAGATCTCCAAGATGTTCGAGAAGTACGGAGAGGTCGAAAAGTGCCAGATCATGCGCGATCCCCATACCAAGGAGTCCCGAGGTTTCGGATTCGTCAAAATGGTAACATCTGACCAAGCTGAGGCTGCTAAGGAAGGACTTCAAGGCGAGACGATTGAGGGCCGCACTTTGAGCATCGAAAAGGCACGCCGTGCTCGCCCACGCACCCCGACCCCCGGCAAGTATTTCGGACCACCAAAGCGAGGTATGTGGCTATTCTATTCATCTCTCTTCGCTTCTTCTAACGCATCTTAGACCCCCGCCCTCGCCACGATGACCGCCGACGCGGCGGCGGTGGTGGTGGTGGCTACGGCCGCGATGACCCTTACCGCTACCGTGGCTATGACCGCAACTACGAACGCGGTGGCTACCGACGCAACGATGACCGTGGTTACGAACGTGGCTACGACCGAGGCTACCGTGAAGAGCGCCGCTACGAAGACCGTGACTACGACCGTAGCAGCTATGACCGCAGAGATCGCGATGATGGCTACTATGGCCGTGAGCGCTATGGTCGTGGTGAAGGCCGTGGTGAAGGCCGCAGTGAGGGTCGTGAAGACCGTGATCGCTACAGCGGTGCTCGCAGCGGCCCCAGCGGTCCCAGCGGCGGTGGCGGTTACGACCGCGAGCGTTACGATCGCGACGCACCTCGATCCCGAGACCCCCCTGCCAGCGGTGCAGGCTACGGCGAGTCAGCCGGAGGTTCGGGCTACTGAGTGTTCTGCAACCCATGTTCCCGCTAATATTCTCAGGCCCCGCTTGATCGTTGGTTGCGTCACAAACCTCACGTCCTACTCGATAACACATGGTGATCGAATTTCGGCCTGTATTTTGCTGCCTTCAGTTGTCGTTTACGTTCTCGATTTGCAGTCCATTATACTTTCGTTTCATCTACAAGATTCCATGGACCGTCGCAAATCTTCTGAACGGTATTTGCTCATTCGGAGTTTCATGCGATCGTTTCGGTTAGGAAGGGAAACAAAATAGGGTATCCGGCCTTCGCCGCAAGTTTTTCTTTATTGGTCCATCTGTCACGACAGGGTTGCTTCATGGCCACAAGCTTAGCAACCTCCGGAGATCTTGGCAGAATCAAGAGATTTGATCACGTTCGTCATAACATGCACAACCTACCTCTACTATGCCCTCGCTTCTAATGGGCTTCGCCATTCTCGGCAAACTCCAGCAATGGGTTCTTGACGCTCATCCAATCCATGAGTCACGCCAATCGGTCTGAGATTCGTTTTCTTTTTCACAACCTCTTATGTAATATTGTCGCCAGAAGATCGGAACGGGCAGGAGATTCGTCGCGTTGGAACCGGGAAATTCATGTCGCCGGCGACTCTTGCCATCTTATTAATGCCGACCGCCTTGCCCAGTACGCCTTGATTAATTATTTCTTCGCCTTTTCTTTGCGACTTCCGACATGTCTGTAATTGTGCCGCCATGCGCTCACCATTAATTTTAATCGCCGTAAACTCCAAGTGCCGGCTACAACCTGTCAGCCGCTCTCCAACCGCAGCTCACTTGATGGCACAGATCTGCCCCGAAAGGTAATTGACATTGCCATGATTGGCCGACCCTGGATACTCTGGTAGGTTTCGATTATCAACGCAATGACCATTAGGCAGGTTGATCGACCACATGACCTGGCATGGTGTGTGGCTCGTGTCTGGGCAAACCAAAAAGTGAGGCTGCAGAACAAAGACACCACATGCAGCCACGGGCCATCCCGACCTTCTCCGACAAAAATCTCAATGCTACACTAATAAATCATTACAGGCACATTCTCAATTTGGCTTTGCTAATGTGTCAGGTGATAGACAATCCAGCCCTCTGCGAAGTACCGATCCCCCCCCCCTTCTTCACTACCCTTCTGGTAAGCGGCGCTGCAGTCCCAGCTATTGACAAGGTCACGCTCATTGAAATGTGAGACCCTTTGTCCCCTTCCTTCGAAGACGACGACTTGTCAGTGAAGCAGTAGAAGGACGCTCTTGAATTCAGCAGAGCGGTCTGCCATCGCTTGGTCACCAACATCAGCAGGACATCACACGCTACTGAGGCCAATTTCTCATATATCCCGACACTCTTTGCATCTTTAGAAGATTTATTGATATGCATACCATCGCTAAACCATGCCCACGTATTCTACCCAGACACCTTGTCTTATATAGTGTCGTACAAACATCATAATATACATTTTTTTCGTCCAATCACGCAAGATCAATATTAATTAGTCTGTATTCAATTAGATTGGCGATTAACATTGGCACCAATCAACCATCCCACACCAGAGACCAAGGTTCCCGTGGCTGCTTCACGTAGCTGGTCGCGCTTCCTGACACGAGGCTCATTCTGTGAGTCGTCCGGTGTGTCCGACGACGCCCCCGACTGATGGTCCCCGCCGCCGCCGCTCGCAAAGTCTCGCAGACTCGAGAGGGTTGTGAGATTTCTCGACGCCACTCTCGCTGTCGCCCGCGACAGATCAAAAAGCGACATTGGCGCCTCCTCTTGCTGCCGGGCAGTCGATGAGGCAGTTATATTCCGAGGGGGGTATGCCTGGTTGGCCGGCTCGTCGAACGCCCCGGGGATGCCTCGCAAATCGCCCGTCTCGTCCCACGCGGCCTCTTTGGCAGCCTCGTCCGAGATGGCTACGTCCAGCTGTGCTTCACACTCTCGGAAGCTCTCGAGAATGGTCTGGAGCTCGGATGGCGGGGCAACCCGCAGCGCCACCGCCAGACACTCGAGCCGCTGCTCAAGGTGGCGGATCTCCAGGTTCCCGCTGGCAGTCCCCAGATGGGTTGGTTGCTGAGACCTCGAGGTGCGGATGTACTGCCCAGCCTGGAGGGCGGCGTTCCATGACCATGGATCGCTGTGAGATGGCTTAGCCGAGTCGCCGAGCCTGCTCACCACATAAGAGTATGCAGTCTCGAAATCGTCTTCCTTTAGCGCAGCGGATATACACATGGCAACTATCCGCTTCTCTACAACGAAGAGCTCGCCTTCCAAGTCTCCCACGGGGTTAGGTATCTTTCCAGGTCGTTTCTGGATGAGGAAGCTGGCCGTGATCATGTTGGTTCCGATCTCCAAGAACTCCTGGAGACGGGTATAGGCTCCCTTATTTTGCTCCAGGACCTTGTCGAGAATGGAGACCGGGTCGGAGTGGACCCTGAGGACAACAGGGCTGAAGGGTTCACCCTGCTTTAGGACGAGCCGGTAGCTGCTGAGCGCGTGGGCTGCACTCAGTAAAGCCTCGATCTGCTTTGTAGATTCTAATGTTCGGGGAACCAGGAGCGGCAGTGCATGGATTCTGTGCTCTCATTAGCAATAGTTCCATCAGTGACGTTGCTGTTGGGTGTTGATCACGTACATGTCATTACACTTTTTCAACCCACCCCTCGTCCGGTTCGGGTTGGATGCATTGTCAAAGGCATCCAGAGCAGCATGGTACACAGCATCCTGAACAACGGTATCTGGTAAGGGCCTGGCATTCGCATCTTCGTAGATGGACTTGGCCAGTGAGTAGCCTAGAGAGAAATGAGCAAGCGGGTCATTCTAGTTAGTTGGAAGTGTACTTACACATGCTGGAAAGCATGGCCTTGAGGAGCTCTGTCTCGACATCACTCTCCGAGACCAATCCAAATATGCCGAGCTTTGCATCGCCCGAGGCAGCGTTCGGGTTCCCCCAGTTATGGAGCCACAAAATCTCCCGCCGGGCCCTTATCCAATACTCATCACTGCTCCTTGACGCTTGGTTCAAAACGAGGCGTACCAGTTTCACGAGTTCACCCTTCTGCTCTCGCGCATCTCTCAACAGAACCATCTCCCCTGCCCTTTTGACTGAGTAGGGGATTCCTAATCTTGTCATTACACTGGCACTCAGAATAAGACCCTGGAGGAAGTTCATTGACGACACGCTCGGCGCTGTCAAGGGGTTTGAGGACTGCAGAAGGTCATTTCTCATGTGAGTGGCAGAAATTTTTCCGCCCGCAGGGTTCGATATGCTGAACGCTGGGAGAGCAGGTAGATGCTCCAATGATGCATGGAACGAGGGAAGTTGATCCTGGCCGTGAAGAAGCCAAGCTCGGCTGACGATACGGTAGGCGCCGGTTAGAGCATCCATTGATGGCTCAGGTATCAGGTATGCTGAAGCTAAAGCGGCTCTAATGTATGTCTCCGACAGGTGGTCGAGCTGTTGCTGGCGCAGAAAGACGCCTGCGGCATCGCCCAGGTCAGCGTCAGATGGCCCATCCCATTCCTCAATGGCATCTGCTGTAACTTTCCAAGATTTGGAGGCGTGAAGCACGAGCCAGTCGAGGACATATTGCCACCCGCGACATGAGACGCCATTCTTGCCCCCATCGGACTCACTGTTAGATTCTAAATTCCATCTCGAATCGTTATATAGCCAGGGCCCTGCTAATCCTCGTAAATCTCGTCCAATATTGTTAACGTCTTCCTCTATTTGGTCTGTCCGTGAAAGAAGGTATTCCACAGCAGCGAGATCGGGCAGGTTCTGGAACTCGCGAAGCGAATGCTGGGCCGTGTTCTGGGAGTAATAATCAAAGTTCCGCCTTATAAGTGGGAGAATGGTGGAAGCCACCCATGTACGAATTGCTGGTGACTGGTCGAGGAAGGGCACCAGCAGGTCCGGGACCAGGCTAAGCATGCCAGCATCCTCGTCCATCTTATACGCTCTTTGGAAGAGAAATTGTGAGAGAACATCGTCGGATTCGAGCCCGGGAGCATCGGCAGACGTCAATTGTAACAGATGAAGCTTCCTAGCCTTCTTCGACGCTTGACTGTCCGTCAACTGGCCAAGAGGCGAGAAGTCTATAGCAACATCGTCTGATTCTTGAGGAATCTCATCCTGGGATATCTGGCGCACAAATTCGGCATATTGCGAAGGGTGGGTGGTCTCCGGGACATAGGTCAGGAGTATTCGGAGGAGGAGTTCATTTCGAAGAATCTCGCGATGCTGAGCTGCGAGTGCTCGAAGACTATCGATGTCGCTGTTGGTCGCAAAGTAAACGGCCAAGAGGACGACCCGGGCCGGCTGGGGCGCGGAGCCCATGATGATTGTTTCAATAGCGCAGCAGGAAGGTTGTAATTTCGAGTCCCTGTCGTAGGGTGGTCTCATAAGATGGTGGAGGTTATGCGCTCTCGTCGGTGGTGGGAGGATAGCTTCCAGAAGGGAGCTTCTAAGAGACCCCAAACCTTTCCTCTTGTTATCAGACTCCAAACCCTCAGCAAAATCTTATAAAAGAGCGATGCACTCGAGCTGAACTTGCTCTTGCACGTGAAGCGAGCGTATCACACGCAGTCGTCGCAATAAATGCCAACTTGCAATGCCATTAATTATCCACTGACGTATCCATGTGGCTAGCTCTTGCTTGGCAACTTAGACTGCTGGTGGGATGGCTCCTTACGTAAGGCAAATTTATGCATCTAATGGTGCGTTTCAAGTTTAACGACTAATCCCCATAAGCCTTAAACGAGGGATTACCTAACTAATTGCGGTACTTGTAATCAAGTGCAGACGAGGCGAAAAGACGAGTACCTCAGCACAAGATCTCAGCTTTGAATACCCCGTTAGCTGCATTTACCAATCAAAGCACCCCGTATGTAAGCAACTGAGGCTTTGGACTATCTCTCAATTGAGGACGTGAGTGCGACATCTGCTCAACCAAAGCGTCCCTCGGTCTAAGCTTCTCGGCCCGCAAACAATCACAGCATCATGTCGTCGGGATATGGAATGAACGGCGGTGAGTCTCTGCTACGCTCCAGGCCGATCCGAACAGCCATTGGGCCCCGGAGTCCCGGCCACCCGCATCAGACCTCAACGCGAAGTCGGCTAACCTCAATTTGATATCTCCAGGCGTCGGCCGCTGCTTTCCCTTCTGGCAGGAGGTCCTTGCCTGCTACGTCGTCAACGCATCCGCCGAGGATAACGCTGGGAGGAAGAAGTGCTCCCCGGTCCTGGAGGACTACTACGAGTGTCTGCATCACAAGAAAGAGGTCCGTACCGTCTGTCGAAACGACCCGCACCGGCGAGCGTGATATCCGAATTCGAACATGTCCCCCCTTTTATCCGAGGAGGAGATGATACGCCGCGGGTTGTTGGAGTGATTGGACGAGTGCTAACTCAGAATGCAGCATGCCCGAGCGCTCGCGATTCAAGCAGCGTACAACAAGCAACGTAACGCCGCACCACGAGAAGATGCCCCCACAGCTAAGCAAATAAGGAACCTGGGCCTGCTAGGAAAGGATGAGGATACCAAGAAGGTTTTGGGAGATGCGGCTTAAGTGTGGTGGGCAGATTTGGAATGTATGATACGAAGTTGGACGGATAAAAAACAGCGTGCCAAACTTTCGCAAGATATAGGAATAGAGTGTGGTTCCTTTGCACAACCGTTCCCGTCCATTTCTCGAGAACTGGACTCTGCACAATCTTCTCTTGGAACCTCCATCTGATCTTGCATGAGGGGCAAAGAAATCCGGTTGTCCTATTGATTCTGGAATGCGTAGCGAGCGAGCATTTGAAGCTGCGATCTAGCAGGAAACTAAAGGACAATCCTCCTTTGAACCCAGACAATAAGTGTTTTATAGATCTAGGCCCAACAAGCCATTTCCTCTTTGTATGTCACTCAATTTGTGTTGGGGTGCGTCAGAATGCTAACTACCCTAGGCGTCCAATCGTCGAAGACTGGGTTATGAGTCCATAAAATTATATCATGTTTGTGGGATACATAAGCTCTAAAATGTGAGTTACTCCATCTTCATTTCAGTTTTAGGATTCAGATATGTAGTGCTCTCCATAGAGTACGTTATATTTGGTTTAACGGCATACGTCGATATGTCTATTCGCTACGAGACAAAACCACTCAAGCTTTAGGCTTAGAGCTTAGTCCAGTAACAACCGTTGGCCAACGGTGATGATGGAAAGTAGCTGCCAAAGGTGCCTAGGCACATTAGTTATTAGAACTCTCTAACCAGTCGGTCACAATTATGCTCTTAATAACTATCCGCTTCACATGTCTACATTGAGGAGTTGAAGACTAGTCCAACTACACAAATTTTTCAGCAACAAGTCCACCTAGTACTCATTCTGTGGAGTATAGGATGACTGGCAGTCCCTTGCGTTTAGACTTCCGTGATATGTTTCTCCGCAACCTTGTGCCGCTCAAAGGTGATGGGGACTTTTAAGTGATGGCTCAGTTCTTTCAAGTGTACACGGGGATTGCTTGGAACAGACTTTCAAATAATGATCATTCGAAGGTGTGTTAGGCGATTGAACAACAATAAGATATCATGTGAGGCTTCTAGGTTGAAACAACTCTATAATCAGGCTCAATGTGCGTGCAAAACTAGATATTCAAGTAATTGCGAATAGTTATTCTTTTCCCTCGTGCCATCAATATCATTGTGAATAATAGCGGCGATCAAACCTATGTGGCCTTCGCTCGTGCCAGGGTTTCATATCCGGTGATACCAACCTGCAGCAGAGGCGAAAGCTGGCGGCTGTTAGATCAGCGAGGGTTCACACACTGTAACCAGCCGATGGAAAGGCAATACAGCAAGCCTCCTGTATCCCGCTACCTCCCACGGCTCCAAGTATATGAGCCAGTAACTTCCCCTCGTCTCAGTGAGCTGCGAGACCCCCAGCGCGGCTTGTTTGCTACCCTGCTGCTACTGACAAGATGCAGCGCGTGCACAGTTGTTTGTCTGTCGGGGCCTGGTGGAGGGAGGCGGCGGGTGAATGATTTCACGTGCACCTGTTCGCCCACAAGCGTTCTACCGAGTTCTCACTTTCGTCTCAGCTCAGGACACGGTGAGAGTCTAGAGCCATCGGCCTTCCCTGACGCTCTCCCCTACACGTTGACATGTCACAGGCGCACACAGGTAATTGAGAACTGAGACCAACGAGATATTTCGGGCTCGAAGATAAGGAACGCTTAAGCTCGTCGAGAGCAACAAGAGCCTCGCGCAAAGGAAATCCGTCCCTTTCTTCTGCAGCCCAGTTTGCCAAAAGGAAGGAGCAACGCCGTGAGTCAGAGAAAGGTCAAAGATCAGGGAGAGATCTCAGCAACTTTTGACTCCTTCTTCATCCATCTCCGCCTCATACATGCGACAACCATGGCGGATAGCAACTGGCTAAGGCTCCTTTCTGGACCGCGAAGTCGAACACCAGCAAAACCTACAAACAGTGCTTCTCCCCCGCTTGAGTCCTCTGCCAGCACAATAATCTCACAGCAAGGCAACCCCCAGCAACCGAAGCAGGATGAACCGCAGAACGAACAGCCCACAGGCCCGGATTCAGAGGCCATCCCACAGAGACGCACTCACAGCGGCCACTCGAAAGCCCTGCCGAGGCTTCCCAGCTGGCCAGCCCTCTCGCAGGCGTCCACAACACCAGTGGCACCGAAATCTTCAACTCCCGACTTGTTCGTGAGGGAGGCGGATCGCGTTGCGCACAACCCGTCCATGGACCACATAGTAGATACCCTTCTAGCAGCTGTCATGTCAAAACCGACTCTCGAGCCCTTGGGGCCAGAGTATGGTTCCTCTATTCTCCATCTCATCGAAGCCTACGCTGCCGCAAAGAAGGAGGCATCAAAGACACAAAGCAAACTCTCGCGGGCCGTTGAGCGCCGGCAGAAGGAAAACGAGGAATTTGATACCCTGGTAACGGAATGGACAATTCGTGAAGCAAGATACAAGGCTGAGATAAAACGACTCGAGATAATCATACACCGAACCTCTGGAAGCGGTCTCGAGGCTGTGTCAATGGCGAGATCTGGTAGTCTCATCCGGAGGGGTTCTCGAAACGTCACTGGCGATCAGAACATCTCACCAACAGAATTGGGGAACCACCGCAGAGGAACTACAGACCGCGGCGTCTTCAAAACAGAAGCTTCAGCTCCCCGCCATCGAGACTCACTTAGTAAGTAATTGCCAGTTGACATGGTAGACTACAGTAACGAGAACTAACTTGGCTTGACAACTACAGTTGGCCGCCCCCGTATCCTCGACCCCAAGAGCGACGTCACACTTAGCATGAGAATAGACAAGGAGCCTCTGGCTGATAATGTGACCTCCATAATACAAACCCACGCAACCATTCGGGAGGTACCCAGTACGCCTTCGTCAAAAACCTCGTCCTCAAGCTCCAGCAGTGATGCCCACGGGTCTACGAAGCGTTCGAGCGACCCAGCACTGGAACGAGCCCAAATCCTCTCTGGGAGCCCCAGCCTCGCCGCGGAGAAGCAGCGTCACCAGCGAGAGTTTTCATTCGTCGAGAGCGAGGATAGTCACATGGTGACGCAAGACGAGGTCGACATAAGTGACACTCATTCCAGGAACGAGAATGCAACTGTCAAATCCCCTCATACTCCACTGGGAGCCGTGAAGAAGGATGAAGAACAGTGCACCACCAACATGTGCATGACTGCACCCGGCGCAGGAGAAGTACCCCCAGATGGCATGAACGACGAGCTTCCGCAGCTGCGCCGTTCCAAGGAAACCGCTCAACGACGTTTCGGTGGCAAGATCGACGCCGACGGTAAAGCATATCTCTAGGGAGAGCATCAACAGTAGGGACTGCACACAAGGAATGTGACAGTTGACCGTTTCAGTCGGTCACCAAAATCCCCAACATCGCGAAGATGAGAACGGCATGGGTCGTTGGTTAGCCAAGCTGTGCCCGGCCGGTTCTCGGCGGATAGAAGAGCTCTTAGTTGGTCGCACGGCATTAGGCAGACAGGTAGACTCGGCGTTACAAGCGGGCGAAGAGCGATCCGGCGTGGGTGTTTGTATTTCGCAAGGGGGAAGGGGGAAAAGTCAATTGCGTTTTCGATGAAGCTTATAGAGCTGCATCGGGCTTGGGCGGTGGGTGGCTGCATGCCGCCGGCGCCACCAACTGAACCGTCTGTGCCGCCTGTGCAGCTCAACAAAATTAGCACAAGATAGGATCCAGAAAACACCGACATGAACACCGAACTAGTGTGAATTCCAGGCAACAATATTACATTGCATTCGCACTCTTGCATGGTGGTGGCGCCGGCAGGCAAGGAGAGACGGCGCATATCTGGGTAATACATCACGGGTGTAGGGTAGAGCGGGCGAGACGGGGCCTGAACTAGGACCTTCCCTAGTGCGCTAGAGTAATGAACATCAGTCAACACCAAAGCTTCCTTTCCAGGTGAAGGGGGAGCTGACAGCCCCTGCAACACCGACAATGGCACTTTGCTATGATGGGAATCTGCCAAATTGCCCTGGGACACACACACACACAAAAAAAAGGCGGGGAACTAAGCGAACCAAAACAACAACCGAGCGCATGGGATGAGATGACGACGGTGCCGGCTGCACATGTGTACGCGACCCATATAAACGTCTATCAAAATCCCATGTAGTAATATCCCTGGGCGAAGGAGACGAACCGAAAGGGCCCAGGCCGGGGGGATGAGGGGAAAGGGGGGGGCGTGTGAGATGGAAAGAAACAGGCAGCCAAATTAAAAGAAGAAAAAGAGCGGGAACAAAAGAGATAACCGAGCCCGATTCAACCAGATCATCGGTACAGAGGCAGCTGAAAAGCAACCACGTCGGGAAGGACCCCTCGAGGGTGTGGGAAGTCGAGAGACAGGCGACCAGGGGACAGGGATTGAGGGAAGGTCATTCGCACAGCTGTCCGTATGCGCATTTCAACCGGACCGGGGGTTGCTCACCTCACCTCATCCGCCGCGCCCCTCACCAAGAGAGAGCTGATCCTCTAGAGAGATAGATTGAAGCGTGACGTCTTTCTCCCCTTCCTTCCTCCGAACGATATGGTCTAGCTGTGAAGTAAATTGGTTTAATGATGATCCTCAGACCAACCACCTGCGCTAGAAAAGGGACCTCGGGCCCTCCATGCGTCGCTCTGGCGGCATCCCATTGGCCTCGACTGCAGCCGGGGGCGGGCCCGTTCACTAATCACCAAAATAAAGCTGACCTATCAGCAGGCCGCGGGATGTTGTGTATCCGGGGGCGCACGCAAAGGAAGTTGTCAGAGACAAGCTGCCCTCGACCGGTAACACTTGGGGCCCATCACCGAAGTCACACTCTCTCATCTCATTTTAAACGTCTTGGGGGCCAGTGACACACACACTCATACACGCACACACATAACCTAAACCCACTCTACGCATCACTCTATCAATCGATCATCGTTGTCTGCCAAGATGCAAAGTGGGAAGAAGCAAAAGGCAAGAAAGAAGAGATAGGGGGGTGGTGGGAGTATTTCCTTCGTCCGCAGGGGTCTCTTTTCTTTCTCCGCGGCTGTGTGCTTTTTCTTTTCTTTTTTTGCCTTTTTCCTTTCTCGTTTGTTTTCGTCTATCGTGACCAATGTGCGCTTATCGGCGCTCCGTATCCTCGTGCGCATTGCATTGCATATTGGCCCTCCCATCTATTCCATCTCGTGGAATAAATAGATTGATACCCGAGTACCGACCTTTACTCACATAGACGTACACCAGGTCCTAACCAAACCCTCCAACCCCCTCCCCCCCACCACTGTCATGAGAGCTCCCCAGCTAGTGTGGGAAGCTATCCCCGGTAGTTGACAACATGGTAATTCTTAAAATCGGGGGAAAACCATCATAGAAAACAGGGGGAATATGTACAGACGTTTTTTTCGCCCCCCTAGTCGGTCCCTCTAGTGTGCCGTTGGGAACCATAATCTGCCCAGATCGCCGGCGCCGGTGAAGAAGCTACCTCAGATTTGGAAATTCACCCCCCCTCCCCTTCGGTGGCGGCGACGACCGGCGGGACTAAAGACGAAGAAGGGCCCTGGTCCAGCTGCAGAACTGGCTATCGGATGGGACGGTAACGGTGGTGGGGAGGGGGAGGGATCACGTCTAGCTGTACGAGGACCGAAGGAGTAAAAACAAAAAGTTTCCTTGGCAATGATGGGAGGGCCGAAAAAGCAAAAGGCAGAGAGAGCGATTCCAATACAATGTGCAATGGGAGAGGTCGTTGGGGGAGAGACCCGGAGGGAAGACGTTGAACCAGGGCGCGGTAGGTTTTAAGTGCGTCCGAAAAATTTCGGGCGCGCTGGGATTCGTCGGCTGGGCGAGGATCGGCACACCGTACAGCACGGTCAATATGTAGGTACGGCTGTGCACCGCCCTGTGTGACGCCGCTGTTGCGGTGGGCTAGCACGGTCGTGGTAGCACCATCGCGCGCGCTGATCAACTGCCGGGGTCCTGCAAGCGGATGGATGAGGCGAGCGAGGCCGGGATGGGCAGGAGTAGAGAGTCTTGGACTGAGCATGAGGAAATCCGTGTCTGAGCTGAGAGTCAGCTCTCAGCCAGTCCGACCCGGCTGGCTGGGTGGGGGACCAGAGAGCAGGGCGCTGGGTAAGACCGAGAGTTAGTCGCCGTGCATCATCCACGGTGGTGGGAATAGGCGCTGCGGCGTTCCCCAGGTCTGTCCGTACACGAGGGCTGGCTGGTGGTGTATCACCAGCGCAATGGGCACGTCGGGAGGTACCTGGAACCGCTACAGCGCCCGATCAAGGTCCCCGAAAATCATCGCGGTGGATCTGGCCAACGGTCGCAACGGCCGGGTGGATCCAGCGCCAGCGCCAGCTGTTGGGTCGCACAATAAATTAGTCCCCATCTTCAGACAGTCATAATATTGATCACTCATGTCCCATGGAGCTGGGGAGAGCTGGGGCTTTCTCGCACAGTGTTTGCACTGTCGGAGTACCTGCTCCCATCCCCATGAATCATCTCCCCCGATGCTCAGCTCTCTCCCGACCGATACTCTGGCACCTTGGAGATCGCTGCAGGCCGGATCCCAACCTATACCATGCATGCATGTGGCCCATGTACCTGGCGGTAATCTCTTGCACGCACTTGACGATGCAGCTGTGACGTGGTAGATAGTCTCAAGCATCCAACCAAGCCGCGCTTATGCACCCTCAGACACCGTACTTCCCACCGGATGTTCATCTATCCGGCTCTCTAGCCAGTAAGCAGATCTGGCCCGCGATTCCCGTCTGCGTTCATGGGACCGTCGACCATGGGCTCCATAGACTTGTCTGGGCGTAGTTTGCTTGTGTGATTCGGCTTTGTTTTCCTGCCTTTCGTCACTCAGGCCTCTCTCTCCATAAAAAGAGAACCAATATATGCGTTCCTCGTGACCCACGTACCTTGCAACGGCAGATGCAGCGTGCGACGTGCATGAATTGCAAAGCCCCCATGCATGGTTTCGTTTGCGAATAGTCCTGCCCTGACCGGTCCCCAAAGAATTTCTCGATACGATGAAGTAGGTCGTCAGGATGAGTGTGTTTCGCCGTAGACGCATTGACTGGTTTCACGGGGAAGGGCTCTGAGATCGACACCGTCGTCTTTACCCCAATCCCTGATCCCTGACCCGAGCACGATCCCCAGCCCAGGCGCAGGAGCATGGCAATCGCACAAGGACAGCAGCCTTGTCTTAGGGATGCTCGTTATCTGCTCTGAAATGACAACGTTGAGAGAGAGAGCCCAACACAACAGCCGCTCCTCTGGTCCGTCTTCATTGGCGGCATCGGACTCGCCTCTTCCTCGGTTCTTCTGTCTTGGAGCCCTGAAATGAGCATATGAATAGCGTCATCGCTAACTCCGTGCGTGACTCGCCAGGACCATTACCCTGGGCAGCCGACCCGGACTCTCTCTTGTCGTGCAAAGCTGGTGGGAATTTCTTCTTCACTATGTAATTCACTGGGGCTCCCAAACTACCGCCCATTGTTCCGTGTGCTTGGCATGCAACCGAATTTCTCCTCCTCCCCCAAGTTAAGTAATCCCAACGGCTACTAGCACTAATGTGCGGTCGCTCAGCCTGAGACAGACAGCAAGACCCAAGCTAGGCTAAGCGTCACCTCCCAAGACACACGCCCCCCCCTTCCATCCTTTCCTGGGGGGCCATCATGTAATTATGGAGGTCTGGTTGGCATCCGGCCCGCCGAGCAGCCAGCCAACCAACGGCCGGCATGCTTCATTCTCGATGAATGGCTACCATGTCGGCGCCGGAGATCGCATGGGGGATCCAGCTGGGGGAGGGAAATTTCCCAACGCTCGCCCTTTCTCGGGTCGGCAGGCATTGGGATTGGTCGCAGGCACATAACCGTCGATGACTGGCCCACATTGGAAGTGCGTGCAGAACAAAGCGTGTCTTGCCGCTGATGATGATGCCGGGGCTGGCTTTTTTTGCTCGGCCTATATCACCCCAAAATGCTCCTCCCCTGTACCTGTTAATACATATCAGATGTAAGATATGATCCCGCCCGCTTCGTGCCGCGATTGGTGGGCAAAATAACTGTCCGTACGTGTATGTAGCTATTTTCAACAGCCTGAGCCAAAAAGGTCCGTGGATCATCGAAGCTCAATAGAGCTGGGGGAGATGGATGATACGTCATTTATCATAAAGCCGTGGAGCAAAAGGAGGACGGCGAAGGCTCTTGCAGCACACCCCCCTCCACCAGTGTTCATCTCTACCCGTCAGCTAAGGCAGGCCGGTTGAAGACGATGCTGAATACCAGCGGATGGTTATTTGGCTAGGTAATATTGGCAGCAGAGCGGACCTTGGGCGTTTCCCCCTCCCCCCCCCAAAGGGCGAGCCTACTCTGGGCCCTCTAGACCAGCCCGGGCTTAAGCCGCCTCCGCTACAACAGTTGGCGGCTAACGGACGACCGACTATGAGACTATGAGGGCATAGTGGGAAAGGCAAACGCGAAGGCAGCTACGGACGCGAGGATCATTGACCGTTGCAACTCTTGTCTGGTGCAAAAGGATCCCCTTAGCGCCGGGTAGCCCGCAGCCTCCCAGGCCGGTTGGAGCATGTCTGGTCGGCTTTTAGAACAGCGCAACGTGCAACGTCCGACGCTGACTTTGAAAGGCAGCTTCCAGATAGAGAGTGATGCGTGGTATCGAGGAGGCTCTTGACGATCCCTCCCTTCTCCGGGGAAGGCGGCACGGATGTGTCTTTGGTCGATTCCCCGGAGCTGTGGATGTGGCGCCCATTCCATTCTGGTCCCCCTCCATTTCTAAATCAGGAGTGTCAGCTCTCTCTCGACAACCAGTTTGGTGTTGGCTCCCACAGTCTGGGCTTCCAAAGGGGGCCTGCCTCTTCCTTTGCCCCTCCTTCTCACCCCTTGTCCCAAGGCCTGCCGTCTTGAGCCACGAGTTCGCCGGCGATGCCCATCCACCAGCGTCACCACCCTGGACCAACAACACTCGCCGTGTCATGTACCTAATAGTAGCCACGACTACCAACCGATAGGCCACCGCCTAGTCCAATATTCACCCTGCCCCAGGGGAGCAAGACACGACGTGGCCTGCCTGCCGCGGTCTTTCACTCGACATGCCCACGAGTCAAGTAGCGCCGGCACCTCGAGGTCTGCGCTTCCCGCCCGTCAACGAATGCTTAGGTACTCGACTCACAACCGCCGCCGGTATCCCAGCGTGCGACCGACTCAGCCAACCACCCCTCCCCTTGCCCGCCTGTGGCTCACCCACTCTCCAGCTCAACCGGGATACCTCACCTCTCTCTTAGTACCCATCTCCACACGACCCGTCCCAGTTGGGAAAGCAATTTGTGCGGGCGGCTCCCAAACCCACCCGTAATGAGAATGGTGCCTGCCCAGGTCGGTACGGTCGAGCCAGCGGGAATTGGGTTAGAGGCACTCTCTGCCCGCCGGTACAGTTTAGCACGTACCTCTGCGAACGGCGGCTGCTGCAGATCGCCTGTCGATCCTAGTTGCATTGGAGATTGGCAGCGAATGTAAAAAAGAAGATGAGCCAAATGGGAAAAAAGGCTAATAATGCCCATCCGCCCAACACATGCCATTCAGAAGAGGGCCACTTTTTTCCTCAGGTATCAACAAACCAGTTCAATATCAATTGTAGTGCAAAAAGCAAATATGAAATGGAATTCCAAAAACGTAGAAGGAAAAATACCAGATAGAAAAAGTCAAAAATTTTGCAAAATACCGGTTTACGACTTGGTTAGGCACGGACGAGGCAACCCCAGCTCCAGGACCAACAGCCGTCACCGCCAGCGGCTGGGTGGTACGTTGCATATACATCTTCATGCACGATTACCGCTCAATTACGCCCACACAGCACCTCCCGCGCCTTGACTCAAAGGCTCCCCATGCGCTACAAGGTTGTTACTTGGGCCGTTGCGCACCGGCCGGTGATTCTGCAGGTTCCACCGGGAAAGGCTGCTCCAATTTCCCATCTACTTTAGCTCCCATTTCTTCTCGCTGCCCGGGTAGGTATGTAAGTCATGCTTGGCTCACTTGCCCTAACGCGGGAGCGATGAGTTGCTGCCATGAAACATGCCCTGCTATTCATCCGGCAAAGGAGTATCAACGATGCAGAAGACAATAAACCTGCATACTCGGACCCGCCCAGGCCTGTCTCAAACTGCCCCGGGCCTCACTTTCATACCGGCATTGATGCACCTTGTTCGTCTCATTCGTTAACAGATATGAATTGAGTAATTAAAGTCTTGCGTAGAGTAATGCTTTCTATTCCCCATACACGGGAACCTTTGCTTCCTGTACATGGTTGTTTATGTTGATATTCTTCCGGCTCTCCTTGGCCACCGTCAGCACCCATGTAAATCATTCACTTGTACAGCGCAGCCCCCGTGAGTTGTCCATGCGCCACCTGCGCTTGGCTTTGAAAAGTAGTGTTGCACAATGTACTCAGATCCAAGATTATTGCCATTTGATAGACCACAAGGGTGGTGGCTTTTGGAGTATCACAACTCATAGTAAACATCGCTCATCCAATTCTTCCTTGCGCCAAAAATCCAAACCATTCTCTAGTATTTTCCTCCTGCTGCCTTATCCTTCTCCCCTCCCAGTTTAGACCCGATTTCATTAGGGATATCATTAGGCGTGAAAAATTAGTGCAATCGTATCATTGCAGGTGGAACATATAGTTGGTCCCATTACTTTTTTCCCGCTCTTCCAAAAGAATAATAATAATAAGTCATTAGTGTTGGCTCTGCCTCTGGGTAGGAGTCAACAGTGTAGCAACGTTCATCCTAGAGTCCTTGCTTGGCTGCGGCTTGGGAAGCATATAAGACTCGGGAGAGTTAGGGGCTGTGGGCAAGTTGCATCGTAATGGCAATCTCTCGTGGTGGAGAGCCGGTGGGCCAGGCCTGCACTGCGACGCCGTAGGGACAGGAAGCGGTGGCTGTCTGTGAGGCACGAATTGCGGTGGCGGTAGAGTCTGTGTGGGAGATAGCTCCCCAGCGTAGGAGGCTGGTGGCCCTTGATGGAACGATCCTGGTGCTTGCGTAGCAATACTGGAAATCCTTGGTAGTGGGCGATTGTTCATAAGGTGATGCTGGGGCATTGAGTTCAGTGGTGGGAGCTCTACTGGCTGGGGTGGTGAAAAGGAAGCTCGAACTGGTGATGTTGTGTAGTTGGATCCGAACTCTGAGTCTGCAGATTCTGATGAGCATGGCGATGGCAGGGGTAGATCTGCGCCATGCATATGATCGTGGCTGTAGGAAAAGGCGCGAGAGGATCCGTGACCAGTGGGGAATGTGGTTAGAGGTGGGAGAGGAAGCGAGGGCCTTGACAGCGACGAGGCTGCTACTGCTGACATGTACCCTCGGGGGCTCGGGCTGTCTACAGATGCTCCCCGTGAAGGATAATGATCAGCTGCCTGTGAATGGTGGTAGCGATCTCCTTGTGCATGGTGAGGGCTATCTCCTTGCTTGTGGTATTGACAATCTCCTGACGGATGATGGTGGCCATCTCCTTGCGAATGGATGCCGTTTCCATGTGGAGCTTTCGACATCTCGGAATGTCTGCGGTCAAGTCGCTTGCGGCGGTTTTGATTGCCGTTCCACCAGTTCTTGACGGCATTGTCACTTCGGCCGTTGAGATGACGAGCAATCTCGGCCCACCGCTTACCATGATTGGCGACCAACTCTTCGATTTTGGCGCCCTCCGCCGGTGTAATGGGCTCGTGGTTAAGGCTGGGCTTGAGGTTCTGGTGATAGCGTTCGCGGCATTGCTTGGGTGTACGGGAGCCGAGTGTCTGTGAGATCTGTACCCAGTTGAGAGCGCCGTGAGTTTTGACCAGTGACATCAATACGTGGTCCTCTTGGCTGGACCAAGGGCCCCGTCTGTGAGAAGCCGTGGCCGCCATGGTCAAGAATTCGGGGGGGTTAGACTTGTGGTTGGTTTCCCGGTAGAGTCGTTTGGTGAATGTCAAACGTTGTAACGTTAATGGGAGGGGTATAAGTTGATGGCCATAGGTGGGAAAGATTAAGTCGATGGGATTGACGAAGAGTGTTGGTCGGGTATTATGTCAAATTATACCACAGCGGGCGGATCTGAGCAAGACAATGAAAGCAGCAGTGCTCAAACAGTAGAGCCGGGTATTAGTAGTGGATATACCAGGGCACCTGGCGATGACGATGGCAGGTATTCAAGTGCACTCCCAACAGGCAGGCGAGGAGTGAGACAAGGAAGGATGGATCCAGAAAAGGGCTGTTGGAAGATGAATAATAGAAGCTGAGATTAGAGAATATAGGTAGGAACTCGGGAAGGCTCTGGCAAGTCGAAGGGAGAAATGAAGGGGTGGAGGAGAGCTAAGTATATAGGTGGTTTGGATGCATGCATGCAAGCACGGTGGATCACGGGCGGATCTGGCCTGCCACGCAGGGCAACTGGCTGCTGGGTGTGAAAGTTGAAGACAAAACCCTTCTCTGAAAGTAAACGTGTAAGTGCGTGACTAAAAGCGGAGGCGCTAGGTAGAGTAAGTTTAAGGTGGATGGAAGGGGGTGAGCGATCTCGGGATCTTGCCTGTGCTGCAGTTGTGGCTTCAACCTTAGCTGGAATACGATTAGCATCCATGGCCTTGTCACTGCCGCCCAGGCAGAGACAGGCTGCATTTACTACATCGACTCTGCCCACGGTACCTAGTCGCACCTGCCCGCAGCCGAACGAGCATGTCCGGTGGGAGGCAGGAACAGCCCAGCAGCACCAGCCTGGCTAAAGTGCCGGCGTTGATGAGCAGGAGCCAGCCGGTACCTGGGCGGCGGGTAGCAGTACCAATTTCCGCCGTGCCATTCCACAGGAGCCCGTAGGCCAGGTACCTCGAGGCAGGTAGATCGGTGGGGAGGCCGTGCCTGGCTGTCGACCTACCTGGACAATCGATGATCTGCTGTCGAGTCGATTGCAGCCTCCCAGGCCCCCCCTGCCCCGAAATCACACATCGCAAGCACACCTGAGAGGGCGTGCCGCAAGAGAAGAGGTGCAGTCGGGGATGAAACCAAGCTGCCGAAGGAGTGGGGGTGCCCTTGGTCGCGTAGCCCTGGATCTGTCTTTGACTTGACTCTGTGCCACCTGCAGCGCTACGCCAAAACAGACACCAGGCTGTCACAGCCCTCGGCGCTAGGCAGGATACGGAAGTAAATTATGAACACTGTGCTGTTACTTCAGCCCGGAGCCTCGCCAATCATCACATTTCGCCTCAGGAACGGCGCCAGCGCCCACCCGTCAACTGCCATCATACCAACCAGGCGAGCAGCCACAGAAGTTAGACGTAACCAACTCTTCTCCTCACGTCTCGTGAGCCTGAAGCATTTACGCGTTTGTCGGCACGATTCGGGTTTGACCTGCACGTTCACCCAGTAAGCCCGACTGTCCACGTTCTAACGCGGCGTTTGGACGGCCGTGGCGCACATAGCAGAGTTCCCCTCTCTCATCATCCCCTACGGAAAAAAAAGATACCTGCGCAGGTAAAAGTCAAGGACGAGACAGCAGAGTCTAATTAGTCCCCCTGACACGCATTATTTTTCTAGCATGGACTTAATATTGCACCTGGAGTGCAATTTACGCAGGCCAAAAGGAGCAGAAAATAATGCTGAGACACGGCGACACGACCAGCGTGCTGGGACCAGACGAACTGAGGGGACAGGGCCACTGCTACGCTGTGGTAGGTATGTGCCCATGTACCTATATCCCGTGCCTGTTAATGGATGGATATAAATATCCTCAGATTCAAAAGAAGCAAAAACTGCACAAGATTGGTACGGTGCATTGCACTAGCACAATCAAAGAGGAAGAAGCAGACGAAGAAAGGCAAAAGGAAAACCTTACCAGCAGGTGAGCAGGGTACTTGCAAAGCATCCCAGTTGGTGATCTGAGCATGGGTTCGCACAGCAGAGCCAGGGGACGACGTCAAGGGCGTAATACCGGACATTGTACCTCCACCCCATTCGGTAAGACGGGGCACGCACAGCTGGGTCCAAGGCCAAGGTCAGGGCGTTGGGGACGAGCGAGGGTGCCTTTAGAGTACCACCGAAAAGCGGGTAGGGATCTGCTCTGTCGTCTTTGACGGCGATGCGGTTGCGGATCCAACGCGGGACGCAGAGGGACGGATTTGTCCAAGGCCATGCCTCGAGCTCCAGGTGCTGGTCACTCTCAACCAGACATCCACCCATGCATTCATTCATTGCTTCATTGCTATTGCCCTATGGCTCCATTCGTTGCCTCTGGTCTCCATGGATCCAACCACCGCATTTGCTGCCCATTTCCCGGCTCTCCACCGCCGAAGAAGCAACGACATGCATGCAGAGGGGAGCCAACATGCAGAATACGAGAGATAAGCGAGCCTCGATCTTGCTATTCAACCTTAACAGAGCAAGAAGACAAGCCGAATGCATGCATACGCGCCTTATGATAAGCCCTGCTCCCCATTCTTGCTACCCAGTCACTACTCTACTGCTAATACAACTGTGCCTGCGGGGAGCAAGACGAAGCCATACTGAGCTCTGGTTGAACGGCGCGCACGCCCAGACGTTTGGGTCAGGCACTTGTCCCCAGCGCATACCTCATCATGATGATCAAATACGCACGTAAACTACACATTTCCCCATCATTGACAGTCTAAACCATTCGATATCGCCGAGTTTCCTCCCCTAGTAACAGTGGCTAGCGTACTGGGCTCCAACCTTACGATCCATAGGGAAAACTGTCCACTCCCAACCAACGTCCCCAGCCAGCCAGGCCGATTGATTCCGTTTCATTTGAGGCGGACGCGTTAACATATCCGTCAAAAAACCTTATTGTTCACGCCGAACCGTGTCGAGCTCGAAGCTCTCTCCAGCAATTGGGTCCTTCCATCTCCGGGACATATGACCACTACTCCTTCCTCGAACTTTCTTTTTAGCATGAAACAAAAATTTTCGTGTTAGATATGTCGGTTTCAAAACGTATTGAGGTGTTTTTATTCCCTCAGTGGCCGCGTTCCTTTGAAAAAGCCCGGCCGTTTGTACGAGCTACAGCTCGTAATGGCTTGGTTTGAATTCCTGCGCCCTGCCTGCAACGACCGGGTCTGGATCATCGGACCCATTTTGGCGCCCAGCGAAGCATCGTCGTCATCCACCTAGGCTTGGAATTCATGTTATGCTTCGTTTAGGGCCAAAGTTATCCTCACGGTAGATGCCTGGCCCTCCCGCGCGGACGAGGCACCAGGGCGCGCAAACAATACCAAGCCGGGCCGTTTCTCGGTACCTCTCTACTCGAGCTCGCAAACTTAACCTTAAGTCTCGGCACTTGGACTGGTAGAATTGCTCGCCTCACTCTTTTAGCTTTCGGCACATACTTTGGGTGGGCTTGTGTATGCAATCCACAGTTTACTTAACGTATACGGCGCGCCTTTTGTCATGGTTTTCACACCTGCCTACCTAGTCTCCTTGACTTCGTGAATGCTTTACGCCCGATCAATACGGTCGTCAAATCAGCGCTATTGCCATTTTGCTAACATGTGCCTATACTATAACCTAACAGAAAAAAAAAAAGAAAGAAAGGGGGCGATATCGCCTTGGGGGGAGGGGTATTCCGTCTATCGCGATGCCATGAAGGTCTGTTCCGCGTAAAAATTGTGCGCCATACTCCGATTCCCAAGCCAGCTAACCTAGCCAGTTGCATACAGCCTGATGTGTTTCCCTCAATGCCGCTCACTTGTGTGCTTTCAAACAATTCCAAAGTATTCATCTGTCCCTGCGTCTCCGTTTTTGCAACGAAGCTTGGGAGTAAAATGATGTTTCTGTTTCATAAGTGAATATCACCGCTCTCGCCAGAAACCCATCTTTGCCATGCTTGCTCGTACGCCGTTTCCACATCGTCGACCCAGCGGCGAGTGTTGAATAAAGCACATTCCCATTTGCTGTCCCATAAAAGTTTCCTGATCTCCGCCAAACGCCCGTATCCTTTCCCGTACCCAGACCCGCCTACCTGATATTTAAGCCCGCCCGCGAGTCTACAGGCCATTTGTTCGTATTCTTGCTCATTGCCGGCAATGAGCTCCGACGCCGCCTCTTGCCCTTGGCTGTTCCTCGGCAATGCGCCCTTCAAGATTGACGCCGCCATCCGGGAGCACATCTTGTACGGGTACCGGGGAAGTGTCAAAAGCGGGGTGCTGGACCAGAGCACATCGGCGGCTGTTGTGTGAGCGTTGCATTCTGGGGTGTCCAAAAACAAGTCGCACACACGCGCTCGAGAGATGTGGTGAGTTTTCGGAGCGACGTCCGTAAAAATGATCCTGCTAGCGACTTCCGAACCCGCCCACTGTCTCGCCGTCTCCTTTAGATTGGCTTCCCCTGCTTCAGGAAAACGAAGCAGCCAAAGCACAGCATTCGGAGTACGTGACAATATTCGAAGCCAAGATCGAAACGTGGTTGGCTCAATCTGCCAACAATGTGTTAGTTGCGGGGTTCAGTATCGAATCATGGTTGAGACTACTGGCTTGCCATACCTTGTAAAGTTGATTGAAGTTACCCATGATGATAGTGTCATCTGATAGCTTTGGGAAAAGAGTTTTGCGCATTTCCCATCTGCGGCGCTGCTCTTCTTCCCAGGTAACATTGCGCTCGTCTGGAGAGCAGGATTGCGCATGGTCGCAGCAGAAAAAGGTGTCGCGGCAGAAGATGATGTTCTCCGAGTACACCCAGTTGTCTTCGTCCCCCTCATTGTTGTCGTGGAAAATGCTTTCGATCCTTACATTTTCCCTCCATGGCCGGAGTGTACTTGGTGGAATCGCTGTAGAATCGGCGAGAATATAATCGCACCATTCAGCTCCAAGAGTTCCCGCAAATCCCATGAAAGACATGTGAATAGGGGCGGGACGAGCTGCAAATATCTCGTTCCTGGCGCCTCGAGTATATCCATTCAAGTTTACAAGAATGTGGATCTGGTCCTTGACAATCTGCTCAACTAGCTTGTCAGGGGACCAGCTACTCACATCCCTAAAAACAGGCGCTTCTTCTTCAATCTTCTGCCGATAAGTAGACTTGTCGCTTGCGGTTGTGGCATAGCAAAAGGCGCGCACACGGCGGCAGTCATGAAATCCGAAAACGGATTGCATCCTAAGGTGAGAGCAATTATTAGTATCCCTAAGCCCGAGCTAGAACAAAGAAAGAGAAAGAACGGGGCAAGCTACTTACAAATGCGCGAGGGGATGATTGTTGAAATCTGACGACAGGTATCCGACATTCAGGTGAGGGCTTGGAGGTGGCGGTGGTGGGTACATTGTCTTGGGCAACCACGGTGCTCGCAATGTTGTGCATGAGATGCGCACCGCGTTTCGCTGCGAAATTGTCCGTATATCCTTGGGGCCTAGAGGACATGTGAAGGTGTGGAAAGGTAATACCGTAGGTGTTGACGGGACTGTGATCCTTGGAGGTAGCCGGATGCGATTATAGCCAGATATGGACTTCTTCTTCGATATATGGCGGTCGTGGTACCAAACCCACATCCTCATGCGTGTCAAACGCTCCACCAACCGCAGTAAAACCGATCCCTCCCATGGCTTTCCTTTCCACCGGTACAGCCAATGGCGGATATCTTCTGGGTTTAAGTTGGTGACATCAGCTATTTCTTTGACCAAGACGTGAATAAAGTCGTCTTGAAGGGAATTCACGCCCCATCGCGAGGCTTCCCCAAGTTGGTGCCTGACGATGTCGACAACGCGCTTTGTCAACCCACTTCCACATTGTGCTGTTCTGCTGTCCTGTAGCATGCCTTCCTCATCAACATGCCAACGATCGAATTTACCGTTCTCAAGGAGCACTCCGCCTCTGCCCTTCCAGTTGCACACAGAGCTCAAGGCGGTGAAAAGCCCGCATACAGCCTCAGCGAAGTCAGGGTTCGATTTGACAGCTCGTTTATAATACGTGATGGCTTCATTGATGCGTCCTCGATCCTTGACAGCATTGGCCAAGTTGGTCAAGGCAATGTCAAAGGTTGGATCGCACGACACGGCCTGCTCATACATTTGGATGGCCAGGTCGAGCTGGCCAATGTCTTTGAGGAGGCTCCCCAAGTTTGTGTGGAGGTGGACATGCTTGGGATCAAGTCGGAGTCCATGCTGATAGTAGGCCAATGCAAGGGCGAGGCCGCTTCCTGGGGGCACCCCAGGTATAGAATGCTGTTGAGGCCCTGGGGCCATGGAGCGAGTTGAACCGGTGGAAACGGCTTGTTGCACTCCAGCAAGCAGAATACCAACGTTATTGGCTGTGGATGGACTCTCCTGTAAAGAGAATGATAAGTAGTACAGGGCCAAGATGTCGCCAACGCCCGTCGTGTGTCGTGGGAGAGTGGAAGCCGCAACACCACTGGACATGGCGTCCTGGAATATCTTTGCCAACGACAGCAGAGAATTACTCGTCGTCTGCGTAGCAGCGCGTTTTGGGGGCCCATCCGGCACACAGACGAGGCCTGGTAGTTGTCCAGTGTCTGGGAAAACCATTTGAGCAGTGTGTCGAACCTTTTCAGGAGGGAGAAGCAGCGGCTGTCCAGTAAGTTGCGGCGAATGCTGAAGCTGTGCTGCAAACCTATCTGCATGCGACAGCACAGTTTGGATGCGCTGGACCAAATGCCTGATGCCATGAATGTGGCGCCCGACACTGATCAAGACTGCCTCTTCAAATGCCTTTGAGGCTCTTTCTATGTCTTTCAAGCTATAGAGCATGGTGCCTTTTGCATGAACCAATGCAAGCATTCTACCATTCTCACTATCAGGCAGTGCATATCCGCTGGAGCCGAAGTTCTTAGCATGATCACCATCAGCCTGAAACGGCTCTGTATTGAAGAATGCGTTCTGCTCTGTGCGAACCAACTGGGGTGCTGGATTGCCAACAGGGGATTCGGTCTTTACGTTCACCAAGTGCCCACCAATAGGCGCCGTTGCCTTGGCTGGATCTCGGGATGGTGTCTTCAGTGCTTTCTGTACGAAGGAAATTACTTCGATGGCCTCCAGACTGCGTTTCCGATAGAGAAGTCCAACGAGATGTTCGGCGGCTTCCAAGTAGGCAGGGTGAAGTCTTACAACACGAAGCCAGGTCTTCTCGGCCTCTTCCTGGCGACCTAGGCAATAAAGAGCTGCTGCTACATTCGTCAAGGCCACATAATTACTGTTATCAAATAGTTAGTTCAAGTAATCAGCAAAGAGTAA